GACAGTGCACTTTTACTTTCGCCCTCTGGGGGGAGCCTCGCTGGAAAATCAACACCGGTTGCATAGTGTACCTTTAATGTTGCTCCAAAACAACAGTGTTATAACATTAGCTTAGCATGTAGAACCACTCAGCGTTTCGTTTTTTTCCATCTTCATCTGCCGTATGTGCCTCCGAACAATGCTGCTGTCTTTATCTTGTTTCTTAAGAGGTTTGATTGTTTTTTTTTTCTGAATTTAGACGTGTTAGCAGGCTTCATGACTTCCGATATTTTTGTGATTAGGAGAAGCTGCAGGGAGTGGAGGAGCTGAGCCTGTTAGTGCAGCTCCGCAGAGGAAAATAGTGCCACAGTTTGGGTAAAGGTTGATGTTGATTTTGATCAAAATTAGTTTGTCTGATTACATAGAAGTATTGACTATTTTCACAACACATGAGACCAATAAAAATAAGCTTTATGTGGAAATGCTGTGCCATAGCAAAGCTGACTAGACAAATGTATTCCAGCAGACGTTCACTGCCGGTCCCTCTAAAGTCTGGCATGTTGTCTGCTTCACATTCCTCAAAAGACCTCAGTTAATTCCTGCTGCTTTTGCACCTTTTTCCACCCCACTTTCTCCTCCCACTAAACTTCTAACTGATGTGCTTGGATAGAGCATCCTTCACAGCTTAATCCTACTTTGTACTTTTCCTGCTTTTACATCTCAAGTCAGCACCCCAGTTTTCCTTAGAATAGACATACGGAATCAAATTCCTAACACAGTTTAGTTAAAAGTACTCAAATACTTTCAATATTTTCTCTTTTCATAAGCTGTAATCATAAAAATTAGCAAAGAAACGCCAGAAATACATCACAGTGGTTATAAAGTGTCCATTCAGCATAACCCCTAATTTACACTGCATCCCGCTGTGCTGAGCTGCGAACACCGCAGCAAATACGCAGCTATTATAGTCAAAGGGAGTATTTGCAGAGCCTCTGCAAGTTGTTGTTGAGAAAGCAAAATATGAGTCTGTTCCATTTTTGTCAGACTGCAGCAAATACAAAGAAATCACATCCTTTCAACAGGAAACTGGATTTTCAAAACAATTCACTTGACACGGCTAGATTAACTTCAATAGCTCTCTATATTTACAGAATTGTGAGTTTATTTATGTTTACATTTTCGCAATTGAACATATTAGATCAATAACCGGGATGTATGTATTATTTCTAGGTGATCAAAACATAATTTAACATTAAATCCACCAAAAATAAACAAAAATATTTTCTCATCCACAGCAGAAAATAACTAGTGAAAAATATTTAGATCTCAAATAATTAGTAAAGCAGCTTTAACTGCTTTAAAAGTCCACAAGAGAAAATGTTTTGGTCTGATTCCTGCGTTCATCACTGGCTTTTAGCCTTGGAGCTCCTGCACAGCAGAGCAGATGCAGTTTAAATATGGCATAAAGGGTTTCACTTTTTAAACTAAATTACTGAAATAAATGAGTTTTTTAAAATCCAATTTACTGCAATGCATCTTTGATTCCAGAAACAAGGAATAATAACGTAATGTGTGCAACATATTTTTTATCCCCAACCGGTCTGCTGCTTCATCTGTTCCCTTTGTTTTACTTTAAGAATAAAAAAAGGAAATCATAGACATAAAACCTTATAATGAATTTTCGAGCTGACTGATAAAGCCCTCCAGGTGGAGAATAAATAGGAATTACTTAAAAATGTATATGTCCCTTTAAAACCTCAAATTCAGAAGAGCTATTGGTATGTTTACTAGAAAGCTATCTTACCGGTAAAAGTCTTCTGCATTTTAAATTGTTTAAAGTTTAAACATTTTATATAAAGTGGTTAGAAAGTATACACCAAATAAAAATCCACTAAAGCTGTATTTCTCTTTGTAAAAAAAATTTAAGCAAATTCAATGCTTTAAACATGTAAATCCCTCCTAAACCATTGCATTTAAGAAACGAAAAAGGTTTGCTTTAAAGCTAAATATAACTGACAAAATAAAATTGGTGAAACAGACTATTGGGTTTTTGTTGTCTCTGTATTTAAACAGTTTCAATCACCTAAAAATCACAATAGTGACAGCAAAAACGAACTCAATATGTGCCGAATCAAACAGAGAGTGGGTCATTTGATATGATGCTGGGCAATTAATTGCATTTGCAATATAATTGCAATTTAACAAAACATTTTTTTTTTCTTTTTATTGTGGAGGCACACAATTTCAGTTACATCACGTTTTACAAGAATAGGACACTACATTTGTCACTCCGGTCCTTTAGGTGGCGTTTATCCGATGATAGCGGGATCCGATGATAGAAGGGAGCAAAAAGCTGCAGCTAGCACACAGATCAATGCACGCAAGAAGAAGGTTAAAGTCCTGCAGCAATGGAAAAAACTGAAACCTTAGAGCAGGGGTCTGCAACCTTTCATATCCAAAGAGCCGTTTTGCCCAGAGTACGACCAAATAAAAATTGTTTAGAGCTGCAAAATATACCATGACTTTTCTACAAAACCTTTTTTTTTTTTTTTATCTCGTATAGGAAATTAGTTGTTGCCATCTCAAACAATCAATTTATATATTTTTA